GGGGACGCCCCTGCCCGCTCCCCCCCAGGACGGTTCCCGGCCGCTGGGGCTTTCCGGGGGAGCTTGGCGGGGCCGTGCTGCGGGGGCTCAGGGCCTGGTCTTCAAGCAAGCCTCCTCCTCGAGCTGTGCGGACGCGCTGCCGTGCAGAGGGTAGACGTGAAATCCCCAATGCCCTGTTTGAGATTTTCACGGGCTCTGGCAAGTGGCACCTGCGGGGAGAAGGGCTTGACGTGCATCAGGGCGACCCTGAAAGTCACCGCGTGGGCCTTGACCGAAGGCATGTACTTCAGCTTGGTCTTCAAGAACTTCGGCATCCTGGTGTGCCGAGGAAGGAGAGTGGTCATGAGGTTCTTCGAAGACCTGCTCCGAGACGTGGATAAGACGGGGGTCCTGGCTAACGCTTTTCTCCAAGTGGGTTTGGCAGGTTTTCAGTGCGCCCTCTAACTCTTTTGCAATGGGGCCAAAGCCGTGGCCGTTATCAGGGGTGTCTGGAAAGGCTCACGGATAGGTCCAGAGTTACCAGAAGGGCACATCCAGGGGTCTGGAGATGCCCTGGATCACACACCCTGTGAGAACGGGACACCCTGAAACGCACGTCAAGCTGTTTGGGGTGCCCTGAAAGGCACATCCAGGGGTCTGGGGCAGCCAAATGCATAGTGAGGGGTCTGAAGGTGCACTAAAACACACAATGTGAAGCTCGGGCAATGCTGACACGCACACTGTGGGGTATAGGGAGGAGCCAAAAAACACATCCAGGGCTCTGTCACACACTGAAAATCACACCGAGAGATGCCATGCACCCTGAAAGGCACATTGAGCGGGGTGGGGAGACCCAACAGGCCCAGCCAGGGGTCCAGAGTGTGCAGAAAGGCATGCTCAGGGGGACTGGGCACACCAGAAAGCAAACCAAGGGGTAGGGGCATTCCAGAATTGACAGTAGGGGCTTGAGGTGCCCTCAAAGGGACACCCAGGGCTCCAGGGATGCAGAGAAGCACACCAAGAGGTCCAGGGTGCCCCAAAACGCACACCGAGAGCCCAGGAAGCACAAAAAGGCTAGAATGCAATCACCGCTGTCGTTAAAGACAACAAAAAATGTTTTTACAAATATATTAATGACAAGAAGAGAGCCAAGGAGAATCTCCATCCTTTATTGGATGCGGGGGGGAACATTGTCACCGAGGATGAGGAAAAGGCTGAGGTACTTAATGCCTTCTTTGTCTCAGCCTTTAACAGGCAGACCAGTTATCCTCAGGGTACTCGGCCCCCTGAGCTGGAAGACACAGATGGCGAGCAGGATGAACCCCCCATAATCCAAGAGGAAGCGGTCAACGAC